CCTGGTCCTCTGCTGGGGGGGGGGGTGTCCATTCACGTGTCTCTCTTAGGGCTCCTTTCGAATTTACCTTCTGCCGGATGACCCCAGCGTGCCTGCCCCGCCCAGGCAGTTTCGGGAATTACCTGACAGCATCCCACAGGAATGCACGGTTAGGATTTACATTGTTCGAGGCTTACAACTCCAGCCCCAGGACAACAATGGCCTGGTAAGAGTTTGGGTGTGGGGCCTTCCCGGGGAGCAGGCTAATTACAGTGAGCAGCCAGTAATCATGCTGCTCTTCCTCTAGGGGATCTGTTATCACACTCCTGCAAAGATACTCTCTCGGAACAAAGTGTTCAGAAGGATTGTCCTGAGCCAGACTTACCTAAGAGCTTGCAGGGGCTTAAGATCCTCTGGTTTACCCTTCTCATTTTACAGCTGTGAGCTGGGACCAGATTTGCTCATCATGCTACCAGGCAAGAGCAGAGCGAGGACACCCCCCCTTGTCCCACCTCTGCTTCTTCACTCATTACTGCGCTCCGTGGGTGAAGTGGTGGCTTCACACCGCCAAAGGGGAGCAGTGCTCAGCCCTCGTCCAAGGCACCCCAGTGCCACGGCAGCCACTTTGTTGTCGGCTGGGAGCGGGTGTGGAGGCAACCTGCGTCAGTCCCAGAATTTGACTTTGACTTGCTCCTTCGATGATGTAATGCCCCCTGTGTTTTGTCCCCGCAGTGTGACCCTTACATAAAAATAACGCTGGGCAAAAAAGTGATTGAAGATCGAGACCACTACATTCCCAACACCCTCAACCCAGTTTTCGGCAGGTAGTGTACGCGTTCAGACATCTTGCGGCCATGCCTTTCTTTGTGGGATATGTCGAGGAGAGACTATGTGCCCAGCCGTGAGACCGGATGTAGGGTGCAACGCTCTGAACCCTGGAACTGGGATCACGAGCTAGAGGACGCCTAGTCAGGAGCAGGTGACCTATAGCAGGTCACAGACCTTCGTGGCCACCGGCAGTGCTGGGAAGATAGTCTGAGGTGGGCCGCTCTCCGAGAGGTTTGCTCAAAACCTTTGGTGCTGGAGGGATGGAGCAGAGCGGGCCACGGTCTGATTTCCTCCTCCAGGTCAGACTTACTGGCCGGGCAGGACAGGGATTCACAGCCCAGCCTCTAGGTGACAGAAACAAGGATCTAAGAACCAGAGCTAGTCAGTGATAGAGCCAAGATTTAGGTAGAAATTCCTGCTCCAAGCCCCAGGCTTTTCTTTTGCCTATTTATTTATTTATTTTCAGAGTTTTGCCATAGGGCCTGTATAATCACAGGAGAGAAAAGGAGAGAGAAAATGAGAAATCATTCCCAAGAGGGATGGCCACACTGCAATCTCTCTTCCTCCATTCTCCTCTCGAATTTTGGGCACGCATGCACACGCGCCCGGTGTGGTTCTCAAACCACTGGGTCCAGGACTTGAACTGTGCCCTCAGCCATATGGGATCCAAAAACCTTAACCTCTACACCACCTGCTGGCCCACTCTAGACTTTTCTAACATCCCTCGTAATGCTTCTTCTCTGTGACAAAAAGTCATGACCTGTTAAAAAATGTTCTCTATACAAAACATTTGCCGAAAAAGTGTTTCCCCAGAGGCTGGCTGAGCAGGAGCACTCTGCATGCTTGTCTGCCGTGGAGTCTGAGTTCTGTTTCCGGCTTCATCATCTTGCCCTGCTCCTCCTCTTTGCTGGTCTGTGGCCTCATGCATCCTTTTTCTCTCTCGGGCACACACATGCACACACACACATCTTTGTCAGAGAGAACCTTGCAGGTTTGCACACAGCATCTGCACACGCGGTAACTCACACACACTCCAGGTGGCACTCACTCTGCTCTCAGACCTGCGTGCACTCTCTCCGTGCCACACAGCTGAGGCCAGCCAGTGCAAGTAATCCTCTGGCACAGCAATCCGATCGTTTTCCTTTTCTTCCGCTGATCCAGCCCTGAGGTCTAGACAGGAAAAGGCACGCAGGGCAGGAAGGAGGGAGACAGGGAAGCCGGACGGCTCGCTTTAAAGGCAGAAAGGCGGCCCTGTCTGAATCGCTGTCTTAGAGGAGCCAAAACGGGCTTAATTAAGTGGCAGGAAAAGTCTCGCTTGGAACTGCCCTGGGAGGAAGTGGTGCTGTCAGGCTGTGTTCGGCCAATCACTGTCAGGCGGGCGTGCAGCCTCCCCTTGTCCTGCAAGGTGGGCCCAGGAGACCCTGGCTCTGCAGCCCTGCAGACAGGCCCCCCCACCCCACCCCCACCCCCGGCATGGCCTCAGTCTTAGGGGATGGCTTTCCTCACAGCAGAGACTCTTGGGGGCTCTGGGACAGAAATTCAGGAAAAGGCAACCTTCCCTACATCCCTGGCCTCCATGTACTGTATTTCTATCACATGGCAACCTCCAGGCACACTCAGAGAATATTGGTGGGGGCCGGCAGGTGGCATGGTGGTTAAGGCACTGGACTCCCACATGTCTGACCGTGGTCCAAGTCCCGTTCCTGGCACCTTACTTTCACGCTTTCCCTTTCTCTCTCTCTGTCTCTTTCTGGTCAGGTTAAGCAATAATAATAATAGATGTAATTAAATAAAGAACTTTAAAAAAAGAACATGGTGTTCCCCACCAATATTCACTGATGTCCCCAGGGGGAAGAAATATTGTATTCCTCAGTCATACCAAGACACCTGGGTTTGTTTCATTTGGTTTTTTTGGGTTTTGTTTTTGTTTTTGTTTTTTGGGGGGAGGGTTTGCTATAGGACACATGTACTCGCCAGAAAGACAGAGAGATAGAAAGCGAGAAATCATCCCCCGTGGGGCATGGCCATACCACAATCCCTTCTCCTCCATTCTCCTCTCAGGATCTTGGGCACACATGCACATGTGCCCAGCAGGAGTTTAAGCCACTGGGTTGGGGACTTGAGCCACGGTCAACTACATGGGAGTCCAGCGACATAGCTATTATGCCAACTGCTGGACCAGACACCTGGGTTTTAAGAGATCATCATTGCAGGACTTCTCAGAGCCTTGAGTTTGTCCAAAGCAACTTCAAAAGGCGTGGTTCTCGGCTTATTTTACTGAAGACTCCCTTTCCTCAGAGGATGCACATTGCCTGTCCCTTGGACTCAGAACTGAACGCGTGCTGTTAGGGGGCATGTGCGGGTACTAGGCTTCACATGTGGTCTTGATTCAATCCCCTGTTCTCCCATGTCTGTTGGCCTCATGCAGCCTCTGGGTGACCGCTGCTGTCTGGAGAAGTCACAGAGCTTTACCTAGGAGACATCCTGGAAGCATTTGACCAGAGTCCTGCTCACACACACCTTTCTGCTCAGGGGATTCATTTTTCTGGCTCTTTGGGCAGGAACCAGACCACACCGCAGCGTGCAAGGGGCAAGGAGGGTGGGCAGGGCACAGGGAGACAGGAGGCCTTTGACAACATGTACTGAGCACCTACCTGGGGGCCGGTGCCTCTGTGGATGGGCAGAGATGGCACCCGAACCCTGAGCCTTGGAGCTTCCGCAGCCTCTGAGCCACCTTGCCCACTGCCATGGAGAGGGTGAGGGTTCTGGGTCCCGATCTCTACCTCAGCGATGCTTGCTTTTTGTTGTTGTTGCTTAGTTTTTGCTGTAAGAGCATGTGCACGGGCCAGAGAGAACGAAACAGAGGGAGAAAGGGGGTGGGAGGGTGAAAAATTACCCTCTGAGGCAATGGCCACACCACAATCTCTTCTCCTCCCAGGATTGTGAGCACTCGCATACATGCACCTGGCGTATTATCCAAGCCACTAGGTCCAGGACCCAAACCACACAGTCGGCCATGTGGTTCTGTGGAAAAGCCTTAAAGAATCAAGGGCAGCAGCAAACCCTGAGGGCCTGGGAGGAGGAGGGGAGCCTTCTGGCACCTTGTCCCTTGCAGCATAGTGGTGAATTCCACTCACACCCCTGCCCTGTGCTCTTGTTGTGTGAGTCAGCGATGTCCATGGGGTAGCAGTCTCTGTCGAGGTGCAGGAAGGGACATGGCAGGGCTGTGAGGTGCATACACACAGAGAGATCTACATCAGAGTGCGGGTCCAAGTCCCGTTCCTGGCACCTTACTTTCACGCTTTCCCTTTCTCTCTCTCTGTCTCTTTCTGGTCAGGTTAAGCAATAATAATAATAGATGTAATTAAATAAAGAACTTTAAAAAAAGAACATGGTGTTCCCCACCAATATTCACTGATGTCCCCAGGGGGAAGAAATATTGTATTCCTCAGTCATACCAAGACACCTGGGTTTGTTTCATTTGGTTTTTTTGGGTTTTGTTTTTGTTTTTGTTTTTTGGGGGGAGGGTTTGCTATAGGACACATGTACTCGCCAGAAAGACAGAGAGATAGAAAGCGAGAAATCATCCCCCGTGGGGCATGGCCATACCACAATCCCTTCTCCTCCATTCTCCTCTCAGGATCTTGGGCACACATGCACATGTGCCCAGCAGGAGTTTAAGCCACTGGGCTGGGGACTTGAGCCACGGTCAACTACATGGGAGTCCAGCGACATAGCTATTATGCCAACTGCTGGACCAGACACCTGGGTTTTAAGAGATCATCATTGCAGGACTTCTCAGAGCCTTGAGTTTGTCCAAAGCAACTTCAAAAGGCGTGGTTCTCGGCTTATTTTACTGAAGACTCCCTTTCCTCAGAGGATGCACATTGCCTGTCCCTTGGACTCAGAACTGAACGCGTGCTGTTAGGGGGCATGTGCGGGTACTAGGCTTCACATGTGGTCTTGATTCAATCCCCTGTTCTCCCATGTCTGTTGGCCTCATGCAGCCTCTGGGTGACCGCTGCTGTCTGGAGAAGTCACAGAGCTTTACCTAGGAGACATCCTGGAAGCATTTGACCAGAGTCCTGCTCACACACACCTTTCTGCTCAGGGGATTCATTTTTCTGGCTCTTTGGGCAGGAACCAGACCACACCGCAGCGTGCAAGGGGCAAGGAGGGTGGGCAGGGCACAGGGAGACAGGAGGCCTTTGACAACATGTACTGAGCACCTACCTGGGGGCCGGTGCCTCTGTGGATGGGCAGAGATGGCACCCGAACCCTGAGCCTTGGAGCTTCCGCAGCCTCTGAGCCACCTTGCCCACTGCCATGGAGAGGGTGAGGGTTCTGGGTCCCGATCTCTACCTCAGCGATGCTTGCTTTTTGTTGTTGTTGCTTAGTTTTTGCTGTAAGAGCATGTGCACGGGCCAGAGAGAACGAAACAGAGGGAGAAAGGGGGTGGGAGGGTGAAAAATTACCCTCTGAGGCAATGGCCACACCACAATCTCTTCTCCTCCCAGGATTGTGAGCACTCGCATACATGCACCTGGCGTATTATCCAAGCCACTAGGTCCAGGACCCAAACCACACAGTCGGCCATGTGGTTCTGTGGAAAAGCCTTAAAGAATCAAGGGCAGCAGCAAACCCTGAGGGCCTGGGAGGAGGAGGGGAGCCTTCTGGCACCTTGTCCCTTGCAGCATAGTGGTGAATTCCACTCACACCCCTGCCCTGTGCTCTTGTTGTGTGAGTCAGCGATGTCCATGGGGTAGCAGTCTCTGTCGAGGTGCAGGAAGGGACATGGCAGGGCTGTGAGGTGCATACACACAGAGAGATCTACATCAGAGTGCGTGTGCCCAACCATCTTCCCTGGGGAGCTGCTCCGCGGCCCCAGTGAATGGACACGTGGCAATGCTAAGGGTATGAAGGGTGTCCCACATGGTTATTGTTACTGTACTGAGTCCTAGTCAGTGCGCTCATGCCAAATGTTTTCTGGACCTTTCTTCTCTTGACCCTCCTAACAACACTGGTTGGTAGCTACTATTACCACCACTTATAAGATAAGAAAAAAATTAAACACAGAGAAGTTGAGTAACTGGCCGAGAGTCCCACAGCTTGTAAGCAGCAGAGCTAGGCTTCCAACCTGGGTACTTAGAGCCCAGGCTCTTCTCCGGAGCACTCGTTATTAGCGTGTACTGGTTTCCATGTAGCCTGGCCCACCACCGCCCATCCTGTAATCCTAACCAGGGTTCTCCAGCAGCCAGAGTCAGCGGCTGGGGCTCTGCATGGAGCGCCGGGGTGGTGAGGTCCTGGATGGAGCATGGAGAGTCTAACCTTGCGCTGTTTATTTAGAATGTATGAACTGAGCTGCTACTTACCGCAAGAAAAAGACCTGAAAATTTCTGTCTACGATTATGACACCTTCACCCGCGATGAAAAAGTAGGAGAAACGATTATTGATCTGGAAAACCGATTCCTTTCCCGGTTTGGGTCCCACTGCGGCATCCCCGAGCAGTACTGTGTGTAAGTTATTTTGGCCCCAAATGTGGGCACGTGCTCCATGTGACATTAATGCTGGGAAGCCTGGTCCTCTGCCTGGGCCTTCTTCACTGAGCCACTGCTCTGCTGTCAGTTAAGCATCTTTGTGTGTGTTTGTGTGTGTTGTTTAATTTTGCCAGAGGGCCTGTGCGCTTGCAGTGGGGGAATAAGGAGGCAGTGAGAGAGCACCCCATGGGGGATGGTCATGCCTCAATCCCTGCTCCTCTCTCTCTCCCCCTCCTTTCAGGATTTTGGGCATGTAGTCACATATGTCCAGTGTGTTCATCAAGCTCTGGGATTGAACAGCATAGTCGGCCATGCGAGATCCAGCCACCTTAACCACCACACCACTGGCCAGTCCAAGCACCGTTTTTTTGGTTTTTGTTTTTGTTTTCCACATTATTTATTATTTGTTTTTTGTATATACTTTCAATCATATTGTTTGGCTTACAGTGAGACCATTTCGATATGTGCACATTTCTCCCCAGACCCGTTGATCAAAATATCTTTAACAGATAACACCACACCTAATGTTTTTGATCACTGGATTATCTCAGAGACAATCGAGGCCACTGCATTGCCCAATTCACATCAGAGTCTGTAAAACAGAGGTCATTGGAGCAGCGTGGTGCCTTGTGGGAGTGGAACCTGTCCCCTCTCGTCCCCTCTCTGAGTCCCTCTTCTGGATGTCAGCGACAGAGAGCTGGCAGTGTTTAATGGCAAGAATCCCCAACCCTTTGGAAACAGATCCCCACCTCCCCTCCCCCAAGTCAGTCATTTGGTTGTGTCCCTCTGCCCTGTCTGCTGTTCAGTGTCTTTCTACAAGTATCTACAGTTTGCAATTTTTAGTTTATGAGTTTGCATAATATGGCAAAACTCTTTTTTTAAGGAATGATTCTTTTTAACTTTATTTATCCATTTATTTATTTTCATTTGACCAGAGAGGGATAGAATGAGAGAGAGAGAGAGAGAGAGAGAGAGAGCGCACGAGAGAGAGAAAGAGAGAAAGCAAGCAACCAGGTCCGGGACTCAAACCATGGTCAGCCATGTGGGAGTCCAGTGCCTTTAACCACCATGCCACCTGGAAGCCCCAAAACTCCTCATTTTTATGGAAGAGAAAACTGAGGACAATAATAAGGATAATAATTAATAAATAATCGATCAACTGAGACCAAAATAGCATGCAGGTTTTAAGCCTCCGAAGTGGATTTCTGGCAAAAGTGAACATGGAGCACATTCCCGCTCCCACTGCAGGGGAGTGCCTGAAAGCTCATGAGTGAGTCTGTGTGTGCAGATCCAGGAGGACCCTCTCGGCCCCACAGTAATGCCAGGGTGTTGATGTCACTTACAGCTCTGGAGTAAATGCCTGGCGAGATCAACTGAAACCGACACAGCTGCTTCACAATGTAGCCAGATTCAAAGGCTTCCCGCCACCCATCCTTTCTGAAGACGGAAGCAGGATCAGATACGGAGGACGAGACTACACTTTGGATGAATTTGGTGAGCACATGGCTGCTGCAAAGTCTAATAACCCGTGTAGATCAGAGGCCTTGGGGAGGGGGGTGGTCAGCCTAATTATCCCATCAGAGACCCTGCACACATGGCTCTGTTGAACAAAAGCGCTTTGTGACCAAGCTCCGCTGTCTTGTCGAGTGTCAAAGTGGACACATTTTCTTGTCTATCTCATGTCTCATTTGCCCTTTTAAGGTCATAGCCATTAGAGCTTTAAGCACGACGCT